TCAGAGAGAATGGACTTGTCTCAGAGGTCTAGTGCTCCCTTTTCAAATTAATTTTTAGGCACACTCAATTTCATTTATATCAGAATTATTTTCAGTACTGTACAATATTAGATTTCTTAGTCGCAACACTTGTTTTCTGTTGCAATGAAACATATTCAAATTCTGGAACAGATTTTCTTTTTGAAATTACAGTTCTATGAACACTGTCAGAGTTACAACTCTTCATTTTTTTTTACCAGGCAGGCAAAATTGGACATTTAAATGATTTCCAGAAAATTAAAAGTCTTACTGAAAGTAAACAGTTATGTAGAAAAAAAGCTTTTGCATTCTTGACTGCATCCTTGTAAAATGATATTAAATATGATTGGATTTTTTTTCCCTGAGGATTACAGGAGCCATTTTCCTTGTTATGCAACTTTGAATTTTAATTTTTATGCAAGTACGTAAGTTGTTCACCTTTGGGTTTCTTACTGAGGTCTGATCTGCAATATATCTAAAGAGTTGCAGAAAAGCTATCAAATTTTTAATGAAATATTACCAAAATAAGGCAAAAATTTAACAAGGTCTGTAATATAATGTGAAACAGATCCACTTCTCATCTTGTATATATCTGATGTTTATTGTAAAAATTAAAATAACGTAATTCTGAGATTTCTATATTTTCATTTTAATGTCAACTCAAATAAAATTCAACAGCAAAAAGTTCATTGAAAAACTTAATATTATTACTTTTGACAAACATGAAACTATCTTCTCATTAAGTATTTTTGTTTGGAGGAGAAAAAAAAAAATCAACCCTCAGGGAAATTGTGAAATTTTCCTTTGAATAAAACAGTTGATAAATTCTATTTTGGGAAAACTCACTTCTTCTTTTGTTGTTAAAAGTTTCAAAGGAATAATACATATTAATGTCACCAAATTAATATTTTCTAGTGGAAGTACTGTCTCAGCTAATGTTTAGCTGACAAATATAAGCTTTTTACCTTTAAAGCACACAGCAGTGATATTAATTCTTTTGCTAGCAAAAACTATTAAAAAGGGAGCTGTACAGGATATACTCTGTATAATTTATCAGGTCTCTTCTATTTCTGATTTCAGTAATCCACTGAAATATTTATGGCCTTGCCAGAACAATGAACACACAGAGTTATCTCTTTAGTTGTCATTATGCTGCTCCTTCCCAGGCAGCTCTTCCAGTGAGGAAGGAAAGGTACAGATCCAGTCCAGCAGCTGAAAGAATGTCAGAGGTATTCCCTCAATGCACACTCCTCCCACAAACTGGACCTTGCAGGAAATAATTTTGCCTAATACTAAAAATACAAGAAGACACAGCACCTTTAATATCAGGAGCCAAAGTAACAGAAGTTAGGCAGGACATGCCTGTCCATGCCACAGTTACAGCTGGATTTTGATGTAAAGGCAAAAGGTAAAAAGGGGAGGGGAACAGCTGATGTTCTGGCTGATGAACTCCAGCCAATGCACAAAGTTACAGCACTGCTGTGTTCATAAAATACAAGATTAAAGAACAAAATAGCAAAAAAATATAAATAAATAATGTATAATAAATGTATACATAAATAGCATTTATTCTGTTGTAATAAACAAACACACCAGGCCTGCAACAAACAAAAGAAATATGAATACTTAATATTGGCCCTTTTCAAAATAGCAAAACTGTTATTTGTGAAGCCTTGCTATAGCTTAGTTATTTGTGAAGCTGGCCCTTTTCAAAATAGCAAAACTGTGAACTGTGAATAGCAAAACTATTTGTGAAGCCTTGCTATAGCTTAGTTATTTGTGAAGCCTTGTTACTCTATAGCTTAGTTCCACCCACAATGTCAAAAGAACAGGACTATGGAATGGTTTTGACATTTGAACACAATATAGCTGAAAAATCCCTAAACTGAAGAAATGGATAGATGCAATATTTCAGCTTTTAATGTCAAAGATGTAAGGCATTGCCCAAAAATCAAAAGCAATTTAACCATCAAGAGAACAGGCACTAATGGATGCTGAGCAGCAGCAGTTCCTAGTCTCTTATCTAGTCAGCATTCAAGGAAAATGAATATAAGATCCAGGCAACCAAACTTCTGTCTGTAGGATCTTCAAAATCAAATGCTTAGTGACTGGCAAGATCAATATGAGTAAATTAAGTAGGAATTTTGGAATCTATATTAATTTGGATATCATTTGAGTGAACTTCAGCATGACTGCCTTGTGTCAGATCCCAGGCTGAGAGCAAATTACAGGAATGTGATGGGGTAAAACAGCTCCAAATTCAGTGCTTGAGTTCCCACCAAGAGGAGAACCTGGCTTCAGAGCACTTCCTGGATGTGGATGGTTGGAATTGTGTCAATTACAGCAAGATTGTATTTTTGGACAGAAGTATCAGAGGCAGAGGGAGGAAATGGGCAGCCAAAATACTTGAAAGCTGTGTTATACGAGTGCCCATTTTGAAATGCTGATTGCCTGCTCTTTGATGAGGAGATAAGTATGTTCCAGGGTTAATCAGATTTTGGTCATTACCAGTACCCAGTGTATTCCTTTTCTAAATTTGTAATAGAAAAGAAGAAAATGCTATCACTATTCTTTTTAGCATGATTTGCACCATATGGTCTTCTAAGTGCAGGCAGCAACTACTTTTAAATGCTGCAGTTCTTTTCTGAGGCATTATTATCCTGTGTATGATGGAAGGAATTTCAAGTGTTCAGGAGATGCTCACATTCTGTAAAGCAGAACGGCCTCTCAAGGCTTGGTTTCTAAAAAGAGCTTACAGTCTTTAAAGAAGATGAAGAATGGCTCTTTCAAGGGATGAGCTTGATTATTCTGTTTATTACTTCATTATTTGCATTTTGGGATCTGGAGGATCCTGAAGCAGTAAGGCCTGGAAAATGAGCTGTTGTTCTTTTTCCAGAGTCTTCGCTTGAAGAATCACCAAAGTGCCTCCCCAGAGCTGTCACTCAGCCTGCAGAGCTGAAAGCTGATCTGCAGCAGTATCACAAGGCAACATGTTCTTGAAGATTTTCAGGAATACACTGAACTTCTTCAAGCCTCTTCCCTCAGGCAAAATGTCAGGCTATTACAGAGGAAGGGGATAGTTTGTGAGGATAACTTATAAATATGTCATTTTGACCTGGTTGTCAAGGAAGATTTTTTTACAAAGGAAGCAGTTTTCTGTTGGAAAAACACTCTACAACCTTTTCTTGGCATCCAGACTTTGCTTCACATGTACTGTAAATGAATCAAAGAGGAATTTTGGCTGGGGCTCCTTCACTTCATATTTACAAGAATGAAGCAAATAATGAAAGAGAAGTTCTAAATAGAAGGTAAAATGTATCACAAAGGTTTCCCAGCCAGACATTCTGATCCACTGAGCAACGTCAAAAATACTAACTCCAGCTCTCTCTCTAAGAATTCAATAACAAATTATTATGCTGTGGACACCTTCCTGGGATTAGGAAACCCTTCGCTCTGCACTGTAGTCTCTATTAGACTTTTCTCTTTGATGGATGATATTTATGAAATGCCACATACACAAGAGCCCCCTTTCTATGACAGTCCATCTGCAAGAAAACTTCAGATCACATGGAAAACATTCACTGAGAAGCTGGCAGAGAACACTGCAGACAGAATGCTATTACATAGTTCCTTTGCCTTAACTACTTTTTTTTGGAGGGGGAGGGAGAAAAAAGCCAGTGAGGTTTAAAGCTTTAATCTCATACCCAAGCTTGTCAGAGCCCAAATCTATCTGTAAAGCTCTCCAAATCAGAATGAACTCGGAAAGATGACGTTCAATCTTTAAATCCTTCTCTGCAGACCTATTTTTGATTCTCAGGTTCATAAAATGGATCCCTGCTGTGCCTCCAGAGCTTTCTAACATGTATTCTACCTATTATGTTTGACATAACCACATGTTAGAACTCAGCTGCATTCAGAACCAAAAGTTTTCTTTGCACAATTTCCTGTGTAGTGTAACAAGACCAATTCAGTGTGACAGAACTATGATTATCATCGGTGGAAAACCAATTATCTCCTCTCCTGGTCACTGTTATTCTTTTCACTCCACTCCATAGTAAGTCTAATATTCTGGACACTTTGGAACAAATTTTATCTTCTTATTTTGCTTTCTTTGACACAGAATGAGTAATAAATTAATGCTTTGTAAATAACGTCAAAAAACTATTTTTCATATCTTATTTTCTCAACAACCATTTTTTCAATCTCTTTCTAAATTAATTCCTGAACAGTCAAAACTATTCACATATTTGATACAATAATTATGGACAACCATAATTAACCATCTTTCCAAAACCTCCTGTGATGTACCATTTCTATTCCATTTCTGTAAATCAAAAATGGATTAGGACTGACATGCCTGCTCAACTACAGGCAAATACCATCAAAATACACAATCATTTCAATGATCTGAACCAGGAATTACATGATAATTCAAACCTGTTTCTTAGGTTTTCAACTGATGCAGTTTATTACAGTCACTCTCATGAATTACCATCATTTTCACCAATGGGAACAGATTTCTGTTCATGACCTGAGGAAATACATGGATATCTGCAAATGGAACTCCTGCCTACATTCACTCCCTACAGCAACAACATCTTCATTAAAACACTTTGATACATGTTCATGTAAATCCAGCAGAATAACATTTTGTAAATATTCCAGTATGAAAAACAGAGAATTAAAGTAATGAAATTCTGCTTGTTTTACATGATTCTGGTAATTTTCATATTCCTCACTTTGGCATTAATTTTGTGCTTCAAGTTTTCCTGTGAAGAAATGTACTCTGGAATAACTTTATATTCTAATTATAGTTTGATGAAGATGCAGCCTGAGCTGACACTGAACCGGCTCTGTCCTTCCATGCTAGGAATGATTAATTCAGCCACTTCACATCCAATTTTAAATGAAATTATCCATCTTCTTGGCTGATGAACTGATACCAGATTTCAAAGCACACAGAGATGGACACACTCACTCACAATCTACTTCCAAAATGGCACGGACAGACTTGGCAAGGTCCCTGGCTTCTGCTGCAAGAGCTGCTGTGACAGTAGGTCCGACCCTTCCCAGCCGAGCCAGAAGTGCTTTAGTGGACAATGTTCTCCTGTCACTAAGATAATAAAAAAATAAGTGTTTATTTGTAATATGATAAAGGAAACTGCTCCTTTCCATAAGGTAAACTTTTCTAAAGTGGTTTTGTTCTCACTGTATGAAAAGATTCACGCTCCCAAATCAGTGAGTTTGCCCCAGCAGCAGTCCTGGCTGAACAATGAAGGTATTTGAAAAGTTCAATTCAAATAACATTCAGAACTCAAAATGCAGTGTCAAGGACTCAGAGGGTGTCAGGACAGGAACTTGAATGGAATTTTCATACCAGCATTTAAGAAGGGACACTGCTTCATGGGACCCAATTCTTATCTTCTCTGCTGTCAGCGAGTCAGTTTGTCACCTTGGCTTAGTATTTGATAATTAATCCATTCACTAAAATAAATGGTATGAACTTCACAAAACAGACAACACTGCTGTTGTGTGCAGGGCCAATGGGAACTGCATCTCACTGATTATCTATGATAGCCTAGTTGGTGTGAGCCTGCCTAGGTTTTTTGAAATAAAGTTCCAGTTCACTTCACTAAAATACATTTGATTTTCTTGAGAGCTGTATTGAAAAAACTGCAGGAAAGAGACTGAACAATTTTATTGTTACATAAATATTAATGAAATGCTATCTGCGATATATAGGCACAATCATGCCAATTTTCTGAAGGACCAAAGGCTGCTTAAATCTTGAATATTCCCAGCAGCTTTTCAAACAAGAAAAGTAACAAAATGTAAATGGATATACATTTTATCAATTTATTTTTACACTACTGTATTCATTGTGATGCAAAATCACCTAGGAAAATCTAAAAAAAATATTAAAAACTTATAACCCACTGTTAAGGTTCCTTGCATTTTAACTAATCATTAGTACATTATAATTACTTTATGGAAACATCCAGACAATCATAGCTATGTAATTACTAACTGTTTTAATTTAATTCAGAGGTTTTTAATGAAGCTATACTCTGAAAGCCTAATTTATAATTCATGCCATTCCCTCTCCTTCAATAAAATAACACTCAGAACTATACAGCAAAAGTATAGAGAAAACCAGCTACAAGGCAGTTCTTTGATACTTGGAAACAATAGTAGAGTTTTCCACTATTAATATTGCCATTTCATTACCTTAAAATCGTTGAGGAAGTAGAGTTATCTGAAAGTATTTCGTGCACAACCTGTTGGTCATAGTCAAGAAGTTAACAGTTTATAAATCAACACAGTCAAAAACTTAATACCTTATAGTTTGATGTTCTATTTGGGGGTGGGGGACTTGGTTTGCAATTAAAGAGTCTAGTGTCTCCCAGCTAGAAGTGCACAAGTAAAAAATCAAACTATTATAACCCCTTTAAACAAAGTAAATATAACAACATCACTTTTTTGTTGTTATTGTTTCATAACATGCCAAAGAATTATCAACTATTAGCTTTTGTGCCTTTTTCTTCTGAGGAGTTTCACAGAAATTGATAGAGTTTAGGTGGAAAAACTTATCTGATCATTTTCATTTGTCCAGTATAGCAAAACACAAAGATTATGTAAACCTCTGGATGAATTTGCATACTTACATCTCTATTTCTAGGAACGAAAGGATCTCTGCAAACTGGTTTATAGCCATTTTATTATGCTCATTCCTCACAAACATCAACAAAAAAGATACTTCCAATCAAGATATTGTTAAAAATGAAAGGCAAAGTTACCTCTACAAATTGTAGCAATTTTTCAGTGGCCACCTCAAATGTCTTCCTGGCCGACTCCGATTTCCGCAGCTGGCAGTCAAGCACTGTAACCCTCTTTCTCAAGTCATGAATGTTCTCCTGGGAAAAGTATTTTAAGGCTTTTATTCTAATAATTTTTCTCCCTTGGATCACACAGAGACATAGTGTGAACAGTGTGTTTGGAATGTTCAACACGCTCTTTTCTACATTTCTGTAAAACATAAAACTGGAATGCCTGAGCAGCTGGCAAATCAGCTCCAAACTGCAACAGATTTTGGCAAATGATAGAAAGGTAAATTAAAATTCGAAGATAACAACAGGGATAGGGCTGAAAATGAAGAGAGTTTGAACTGACTGATGAATGGATGAAAAATACCAACCTGATGGTGACAGTATCTCAGCAGGGTGCATAAACAGCCAGAACAAACTCAGTCCCCTGGTTTGCATCCATACATCCGCTGGCCAACACAGTAATTATGGCACATCTTGGAGGAAATCACCCCCTAGCATGTCTCTGCATGCACTTGTATAACCTATTGATCAGTGTTATGCATCCCTTCCTCCAGTACAGAAGATGTGAGCCCTGTTAGATCCAGCTGTGGAGGCTCTGGGTTTCATTAGAGCTCCCGGCACTGTTCCTGTGACAGGACCATGACTAAAGTCCTCACATGTACCTGGCATGTCTGTTTAGCACAGCTGTCTGCTGGACACAAGATCTAGAAAGAGCTCTCCAAAATACAGAAAAAGCACTGTAGTTATAAATAAACTTTTACATCACACTGCAAGTGATCATTCTGAAAGCCCACAACTGTGGTGTTTGTGAGGGTCTCCAGGACAAGGGAAGAGATGAATTTGACTCCACGTTCTCAGAAGGTTGATTTATTATATTATGATATTATATTAAAAGAAATGCTACACTAAAACTATACTAAAAGATAGAGAAAAGGATAAATCAGAAGGCTGAACAAGAGTGAATAATAAAAACCTGTGACTGACTCCTCAGTCTGACACAGCTGATGGTGATTGGTCATTAAAACAATTCACATGGAACCAATCAAACAATCACCTATTACATTCCAAAGCACCAAAACACAAGGAGAAGCAATCAGATAATTATTATTTACATTCCTCTCTAAGGCTTCTCAGCTTCCCAGGAGAAGAAATCCTGGCAAAGGGATTTTTCAGAAAATATTACAGTAACACACAACCTACTCTAAAACCCTTACAAAATAATCACCAAAATAATCACCAAAATCCACTTACTAACTTTACTGGAAGCAAATAATATGTTTGTATACACTGTACAAAGCAGCAGAACCATCACCTCCCTGAATGTCAAAGAATCTGTTGATTCAAACACCTTTTATTGGTAATTTCACTGTCTACTCTGGAGAAGAAGCTGGTGAAAGAACTCACTCTTTCACACTAAAAAAGTGAGAGGGACCAATCTGATTTTTATTTATGCATCAACATATGTTATATTCTGTTTAGTGAGTGTGTTTTAGGGGAAGATTTACTCAGGCATTGAAGAAAAAAAACCAGGTGTGACCCTGCCTGAAACTTGATACTGCTTCTTTTGGGTAAGAAATGCAGAGATTCAAATCTCCACACAGATATCGTAGTACTCAGCCAGCATTTCAGGAACTCAAGTTGGAATCTCTGGAACAAATGTCCAGGAAAGCAACCCATACTCTATGAATTTCTTAAAATTTGGCTACTTATAGAAAACAAACAGTGATGCAAAAACACTTGACATAAAAGATGGAGCATCTCATCCAGATGTTCAGAAAGAACATCCAGGGTGTGATTCACCTTATCACTCACAATCAGATGATAGGAATTCCTCCTGGGAGCCACAGCTTCCTAAGCTGTTCTCTGCAAGCTTGTTTACCCCAGAGCTTGACTTCACCTTCTAATGTCTTGAAATATTAAATTAATTCTCAGGATGAAACTAGGCAACACTTCAGTAGGTTTTCTTCACCAGGTCATATGCACATCCATTTTTCATGAGAAAAACAAGGTAACCTCACAAATGCCAACCAGCTTGCACTTGTTCAAACTGTGTCTAAAACATAGGTCAGGAGTTATGAAAAAAAAGTTTTGAAGTGCATCAAATATTTTATTTCTTAGCCTGTTCTGAAATGCCTCGCTGGAGATGAAGTAGACTTAAAATATAAGGCTCAATTCAATTTTTTTTTGCAGGATTAGTAGCATTCAAGTGATTACCTTGATTAAATTTAAATTTAATTTGGAACAGGACTGGACTTTACATGGTTGTAATTTGCCTAACAGAAACATAAACCTGAAGGCCATTTTCACATGAGTACAAAAGCATACAAATATATGCAAGGTGTAGTCTTTAAAGACAACATATCTGCAGCCCAGAAACTATTCCATGCTCAAGGTCTGAGATGTGCCATTCTGACCTATAACCCACATATGCTGGGAGCTCCTGTTTTTCTAGCCCAAAGATGTCTGGATAAAGGAAGCCTTGTACACTTCACATTACCCTCTTCAATCCACATCATCCCAGTTATTGAATAATAAAAGACAAACAGTGACCTACTTTAGAAAAGCAGATGAAAAGAAAATGAAAACCAGATACATGACAACAGCAAGGAAACCATGGTAACTCTACAGGCTTTGCTTACTTTATTTTGGCCAGAATGCTCAGTGAGCTGAGCCTTCAGCTCTCCAATTTCAGCCTCTAACAGGCGAATCACCTCTTCGTAGTCCATCTCCATTCCCCGGGCCTGCCTCTGAGCAGCCTCTGCAAGGTGAATTCTGCTGCGCAGGGCTCTGCTCTCCTCCACAGCTGCCTTGGCTTCCTGCAGATTGTATAATTCAGTGGAGAAGTTACAACTCCAGCTACCAAGAAAAAAACAGATTTAGCTCACAAGTATTGCAGTTGACATCAGGGCTACCTGTTAGTGTTCATGGTTAGAGGGTTCAATTGCTGATTTTTAACATTATGATGTGCAAATGAAAACCAGGTATGTACAGAGACATAATTTTCCTAATAAATTAAATATCAAGTTCTATAATTACTGAAAATCTACTTGAATGAAAGTTTTTCTTGAAATGCACCAGATGCTGTTGATCTGCCCCACTGCTTCCACACCAAAAAAGTACCTTAATGAGATGTTACTTAATTTCATTTTTATTGCATGAATTCACACTGTAGTTACAGCTCACACATCATGAAGATGGACTTTTAATGCAAGTAATTCAGTCTACACTCTTTTCAGAATCAGTGCTTTTTTATAAAATCTATTTTTCTGCCTCATTCCTGGTCCTATTATGCTCCAAATATCCTGGATTATCACAGAAGAGTGATAGATAAAACTTACATATATATATAATGTACAGAAAACCAGAAACTGTTAGTTTTTAATTCAGCTAACGTAATCACTAAATGTTGCAAAATCTCCTTTAAAGAAAGGTATTACTCAGTTCACTTTAGGACTGAATATTAATTGAAATTAACTGATTAGTAAATTAGAAAGCCAAACTAAAGGTCTGTACAATGGATCAGTTTACACTCATCTAGGAATAAAACAAACAAACTGCTCCACAAAATGTACAGGCTCACTGGCACTAAAATCACTGAACCATCTTTTCCCTCAGCTATTAATTAATCTGTAAGAAAGGTCACTTTATATAAATTTTCTTAATAATTAAAGTTATCAGATTTGAATACACCAATTCACATAGGTAAAAGTTTTTTGTAGAAGTTGCTCAGTTAAGGATACTTAGGTGAATATTCTGTTCCTGGTCTACCTATTGCATCTTATAATTATAATTATATCCTGGTTGGGAATGGAACTAGAGGGAAAACAGGTGGGTGTTTCTCCTCCCATAGAGGAGAAACACACGATGACTCTTTAGCATGGAGGAAATAACCTTCTATAAGCTAGGTTTGAAATTGCTGTTTCTAAAAAACCTAGATGACCAGATCTTCCTGTTTTGTGGAAAAAACTGCATATAAAAGGTGTCATAATAGAAATGTCTAGAGAGGTTAGTTAAACTTAAAAATACTGATTTAATTCTTTCCTAATGTAGAAGCATTTGTCTGTACAATCAATATCCTTCAAGTCAGGTTTTCCTATATTTTGTGATAATGGTCTTTCTGTAAAATGCTCTATCAATCCCAGCTTCATTAGAGCTTCATTCTCTACACTGTTAGTCTTAATAGACAATATATTCTGGGCCATAAATCAGCTAATCTCAGTGACATATAACCAGTACATCATCTTCCTCATCTTTGCAATAGAATACCAGTTTGGATGATGGCCAGGGACATCCTGGTCTCTCAGAAAATAGAGCAGTGGAAGCAACCACACATGCAGAACAGGAACCCCATTAGTGAACACAGGTGACATTGGTGTTGCATAATTCAGAGGTTTCTGTTACAGGGCACAAGCACTAAGAGATCCATCTAAGTGACCTTCAATTTGACAGCAAGTAGAATGATTCTCTTTTTTCCTTTGGAAGCATTAGGTGAACTACACAAGGACCAGCTGCACCTGGAAACACAGACTCATCCCAAGCTTACTGCTCCGTGCGTGCTTTTCCTCACACTGGTGTCACCGTTGTGTTTACAGCACTAAGAGCAGTGTGAGGGTCATTACAGCTCACACTCCCTGAAAGCACGGCAATCACCCCTCCTGCAAGCTGCTCCTGGCACTCCTTTTTCCTAGAAACAATTCAGGGAACACAAGGACTTCTAAGAAGTTAACCTACAGAAGCAGAGGTCAAATTACTGCCTTTGGGGAGGCACTTTCTTGCCATTATAAGAAAAAGGAGTCAACAACAAGAAGAGCTGGGTCCTGCTGCTACAGAGGATGAGTTGGGAGCCTTCAGCAGCAAAGGCATCCTTGGGAAACAGGCTGGAGGTGGGAAAAAGACTCTTGGAGACAAAAGTGAAAAGATTCTCTGACGTTAAGTTTGACTAATATAAATGAACACAGAGGCCTTGAGAAAGGGTGGCATCTTAAAAACCCACACTTAGGAATTATTTAAATAAACTGACATGAGAAAAGTGAAGAGAAAATTGCTATTATGAAAAGGGAGGTCTTCATTTTGAAAGAAGACATCCTTGAGATAAAGGTTTAATCTCTTATAATCCAGAATTGCCTTTACTCCTCCATTGTTTTTTCAGAACCCCAGTTGTTGAATATTAATTTCTCTGTAATAGCAGACTAAGTATGACCAGATTTCAACAGTGAAAGACCTAAAGGAATAATTAAGGAACAATGGCTTCTTACATTACAATGAAACAATTACACACACTACAACTGAATTAGCAAAATTGTCTGACACACCAGAGCTGTTTGCTAGAGCAGAGGGGCACAAAGGGAAATGATTCCATCAGGTTTTCCCATTCTCCAGTTACTGGAATTGGTCCTGGGGGGCACAGTGGGTTCTCTCACCTGGCAGGTAAGGGGGCCCCACCAGTGAAGAACTGATGGGTCATACCCACTTCAGCAACATGAGCTCTTGTCCCACTCAAATGTATGACAAAAGTGTCCAAGGCCAGGCTGGACAGGGCTTGGAGCAACCTGGGATAGTGGAGGGTGTCCCCTTCCATGGCAGGGGGTGAAATGAGATAAGCTTTAAGCTCCTTTCCAACCCAAACCAATTGAGGATTCTAAGACATAACAGATAGGGGATCTGCAGCTGCTAATATTTCATTTATATAAACACCTCATGGGACCCATTGTCCTGATCTGGTATGAAGCCACTACAACCAATAAGGAACTAACAGCTGGAGGAGAGAAGCTGAATCCTTAAAAAAGCAATTTCAAGGTACAGGTTTCTTCCTAAGCCACGTTCTACTTCTTCCTTGGATACATTTGAGTGTAAGAAGGTTTTATCCAAGTTTTATTCCAGCCACCACAAACACCAGAACTAAGATATTCTTTTAAACCACATGAAATTGTAGTTACAAATCAATCGTACTTGTTGGTTAATTCTACAAAAATTGTATATTGAAATTATCATTTAAAAGAACTTTGAATATCTTTACTATGTATTAAAATAAAAAAAACCTAATTAAATAAACCAAACACTTCTTTCAGGCAGGGTGAAATAGATTAGATACTGCTTCCAAAATATAGCAGTCATTCAAAGCCCCTATTTTCCCCTCAGAGAAAACAACCACAGAGTAGCAAATATCTCAGCCCTATGAACCAAGTCCAGGAGTTTAGGATACCACAAACAGTGGTATCTCCCATTTTCTATGTTTAGCTGAGTGCTCCAGCTGACAGAAACTGCCCAGGAAAAGCTGTAGTACAGAAGGGATCATTCAGGCTGAAATACCCCAGGACTCTCAGGCAGCACAGGATCCAGTCCAGCTCCTCCAGGAAGAGGGAAGACATCATTACAGATTTCACATTCATGCTCTTGGCAAGACTTCAGGTACTCAAAAGTGCCTTTCTGTGTTTTGTGCCAATTTCAGCTTACATATGATTTCAAGGAAGCCCCAAAGATATAGTGCTATATCACAACTTCAAAGCAAAAACAGATCAATTAATGAATTTGAATTGTCTCATACCAATATTAGAAAATAATTACTATCTCACTGCAAGTTTAGCAGCATTTCTAATCTTAAGAGTTTATTCATGCTGTTTGTTACTGAGTCAAGCACTGTTTGATGAATTGGTACTAACAAAGCATGTTCATTAACCAGAATGTTTGTACCCCTGTCTTAATTAATCTGTAATCGCTGCAATTCACAATTAGCAGAAAACAGAAATACCACAAAATATACCTCAATATATGACTGATAACCTAAATCCTCACTTAAAACCTTGTTTTTTTCAGGAAAGGAGTAATTTTTAAAAAATGTTTAAATTACGCTGAAGTCAGACCTTAAGCACAGCCTTAAACTGGGTTTTTTGTTTACTTTGGTTGTTCGTTTCTTTTAATCAGGCCATTAGGGTTCAATAATGTACTCATTAACTCCTCTCACTAACCAGCTCAAGCAGGAATGCACATCATAAGTTAAATGGCAACGTGTACTATAAGTAACCTATTTATAAAAAACTTATCACCATGAACCTCAGTTTAAACAACAGAAATATATATATAATAATATATATAAAACACTTGCACATGCACCAAGTATAAACAGAACAAAATGTCCATTAAAAGCCCACTTTTATCTCTTAAAATAGACCATACAATGCTATAATTATATATAATTTAGTATTTCTCTTTCACTTCACTACATGGAACCCTTTTGATGCCTACAAGAAAATCAGTATTTATCCCTGGGAGTTTTGCAGGGCAAAACTGAATTTCACCACCACATGAGAGTACCTGAGAAAAATAAAAGTGGGAGGACCTCGAGTGGTGGCAAATGGGCACTGCTGCCACCTAAAACATCTTAAACCAGCCCTGTCCAAGGCTGCCTTCCCAGGAAAAGCAGGTTTGTACTGGGGATTGTACTCTGTACCAGCGTTAGGCTGGACTAATACACTGAACAAGTGTTCTGGTCTAGAACAACACAGTCAACCCATCAGAGAATGGGAACCTCAAGTGCATTACTGGAACAATCTTCCAGTTAAATTTTATCCAGAAGATAACTCAATTTATTTCCCACAGTGTACAGAAGGAAACAACACAATACTAATGGAAAAAGCTTTCAAGCAAGCTCTTCTATATTCAAGGAATAAAAGGTGATAATGAAGGTGTTCAAAGACTCTTCGGAGCAAAATATAAAACTAATCTTAATACAGGGCAATTTTAAACTTTATCTTGCATTTTTACATGACATCTGACATGAGAAACCTGCAAAGAATAGGTGCAGCAGTGCAGGAGGGAAGGAAAGCAGCCAGCTCATTAGAAGGAAAAGCTGACAGGGTGTTCAGGAGGAAGATTGAACAGGAAAGTTCCCTGGCTTTGAGTCCAGGCTATAAGTGACAGGAGACTAACATTTAATTGGGAATTTCCTTTAGGAGACACAAGGAAGCCAAATACTCTGATTTATTGGCTCATAATTATAGACAGATTTGGAAGCAGAAACAAGACTTTCCTCAGAAAACCCTGACTTCAACTTTTTTTCCTGGTAATTTTTTCACATTTAAGACTGGTTGACATATAAAGTCGTTAATGTTAGGACTGTAAATTAAGCAACTGTTGCCTAAGAACAGCAAAATTTCCTCAAGAACACTTAAGACTAGAAAGGTTCTACTACATCATTATCCCACTTCATTGATCCAGCTGGTCTCAGGATTCCTATCTCAATTCAATAGCAGAGAAATAGATTACTGCTCCAAAAACTGAAGAATCGATTCTCCACTTTTAATCAAAAGCTCTGTAGCAACACAAGAACCACCTTTGTGCTGAAATCAGTGTGAAAGTATAGTCCATATGAGCACTAAGAGAAAAAGAAGTGCTTCTTTCTCCCTTCCACAAAAAAAAAAACAATTAAAATTTTTTTAGTTATTATAATTTTTAAAGACTTCAACATACTTGCTTGACTACTTGTAGCTGCTCTGCTAACTGCTTCTGTAAGTTCACAGATTCAGACAATTCTTCCTATTAAACAAAAAAAAAGAATAATAAATAAGTTTGAAAGAGAAAGAGTTTTGGTCCTAAAGCAATTAGCTCTTTCAAAAGTACAGATAACAATACTTACCTTCTATCAACAGCTTTTATAAAACCTGTGATAAAACCATCTCTAAAAGCTAACTTTTCTGTGAGTTCATTGATGCTGGTGAAGTTTCCTGAGTATTTTAGAATTATTTACTGAACATTTCTGGGATGTATGTAAAAGAGTGTAAGAAATCAGGCAATTAATTATAGATTGATCATTGTCAGTTTTCCACATCAGCAATTTAGGGACACCTTGTCAGCATCCACTGTATTTAATGTAAATGGGGTTCTTTCATGTCAGTACAAAGCTCTCAGAAGAATCATTGTGCACAGAACAGAGAACTGACCTCTGGCCATTTCAACCCAATGCTTCTGTAATTTACAGCAAAAAAATTTTTGGACCAAGGGGTAATTTTTAAAATTGTCTTTATCCCTGTTCAAGAACCAGAGTTATGTATGCTGAATACAGAACTTCCTATCTTATAGTTTGCTAAATGAGAAATTCAGGACCAGAAGAATTTGGTAGCAACCTGTGGTATTAAGAAATAATATTTATTGCTTTAGGACTTAGGAATTCTGTAATGCCTGGGAAAACATGTACTAATTTTGCATGTACTAATTTATCCTCCAGTTCTGATTCCTTTCAGAAGTATCAGCACATGCTCAGACTCTGCAGTTATTAGGATCACACATTTTTAAATAAAATTGCCATGCAAATCAGTCATTTCTCCAAATTCACTTCTGTGAAATGTTTGCTTAGTCTCATTTCTCTATAGACCAGATTAAAAAATGTGTTAGCATTCAGTATAATGGCTAAAATTCACTGTCTCCACAAATATATTGTAAGCAATCTTCAAACATGATTAGGACTGTTTTCACTGCCATTTTATTTATCTATGAAAAACTGCACATGAAATTCAAAAAACCAGTAAATTCCTATACACACTCAAAAAAGCCTCTAGTCTCTTGGGTAATTTAAAGAAAATAAAAAGTAAGTGTTACCTTTAATTTGCTTATTTCTTTTAAAGCTTCATTTCTTTCTTTCTTAAGTTTTTCCACATCATCCTCCAAGGAATCACAGGTTACAAACTGTGTGTATACAAATACATAAGGTTGGAATGGATTGCTAACTCTGTCTTCCATAATCTTTAACATCTTATATTAAAAGTTCTTGTTAATAAAACAAGAAAAAAAATCTTAATTTTAGGATGATTTATAGATCTGAAAATGCTAAAAAATGTTTAATAAAATTTTAAACAGCTTATCTTCCAAATGAACAATTACTTTTCCTTTTAAAATGGATTAATAAAGTGTTTTTTGAACTATCAAGAATATATCACTATTTTAATATTTTAAATAACAAGGCATTTTATTTTAGTCTTCATATACTAAAAATGCTCTTTTTTAAAGTCACCTCTAGAATAAAATGATTTTCACTGTAGCAGTAGTTCAAATCACTGGGCCCAGTAATTGTTTCTCACTCACACAGGTTGTAGCAATCCAGATTCTATTAAGAAACCTCAGTAAATCAATGTTGTCCAGACTTACAACAAAGGACAATTTAATTACATTAATTGCTTTCTACAAATTAGGCTGCTTAAAAAACCTTCACAGAAACTAGGTTATCTTAAAGAACCCCATGCTGCAGAGCTGTTTTAAACACCTGCCCAGCATTTGGAGTTTTTTTACATACAATAAACTCTCCAATAATCTCCTCCCAGCTGTTAAAACACTGACCAGGCACATGTTTTACCTGTGAGTCCTCTAAGCTGGTAACTTCACTGACCCCAAACGTTTCAGATTTGTGGCCATCATCAGCTGAATTTGATTGCACAGACAACAGATTCCTTGAAACTTCAACAAAATCTAGGAAAAAACCAGTTCAGATTTTGTTGCTGTAGTCTGGAAGTTCAGTTTAGTAACAGATCACTGGTGCAACACAACTGCCAATATGACCATGAACAGCCACTCTGATAAATGCAGTTTTCTAAGGGAAAAAAAGAAAATCAGAGAGGTATCTCCGAAGAGAAAGTTCTGGTAAAGCTGGTAAGAATAAAAATGCCCAAACATATCGTGGAATGAAATATCTTCAAATCAAATTGTGAAGGAAAAAAGAAAACAAAGGTGGTGTGAAGCTCACCTTCAAAGTACCCGAGAGGTTCTGCATTTGGCAGGTGTCTGTGAAGAATGAAATAAATCTGCACAACAGGCATACACACCTGCCCTTCCCAATGATTGACCTTACCAGAGGAGACAGGAAAAAGGAAAAATATCCTGCTAGCTCAGAGCTCAAGGTTTCCTTTTCAAACCCTTTAAACCTTTGATAGAGGCTTGGTAAAATTGATGTTGACCAAGCTGAAAGTTTTAAATACAAACAGTCTCTAATGCACAATCAACCTGGCTTGGATTACCCATACATTTTGGATTCAAAAATTCCGCTACACAATTTTTAAATCCAAAATGATTTTATGACAGAAAGGTGGAAATACAAAGGTCAGTTTACTCCATATAAAATCTGATAGAACATCCAGTATTTTTCTTGCTGATCTTTTTGGATGTTTAAGTACAAAATACTATTTTTCACACACTAGTGTTTTTCATAGACTTTAGGAAAAGTGAAATTTCCATCAGTTTTAGCATCAGAACCATCATGTCTCACAGTTTCTGAAAAATATTTTTAAATTGTCCGTGTCATCAACCAAAATTGTTACAACCACAAGAAGCCACTCATTCTCACCAGAATTAGGTTTAGCTGGAAGAATTGTGATGGTCTCCCTGCAAACCTGTTTCTATATGCAATAGTTGAAGCGTTCTTGCTTCCCACATACTAAAACTAAGTGATCCATCCGTTTACTTCCTTCAAGAAGCCTCCTTAAACATCAAAACTCTCCCAAGTGATTTCTGGAAAAATTACAGTTCCCCTTTGTCAGAACAAAAAATTCAAGATTTTGTGAGCACAAAATAAAACTTTCCCAAGGTTGCCCTTAATAAAATAAATTTGTGATTTGCATTCCCATTACTTAGTTTCAAGTAGAACTCCAAGATTATTTTTATACAGCAAAATAACGTTCTTGCCTCAAATTATCATTTTATTTGCAGCAGCAACCCAATACTGACAAGAATTATAGTAATCGTTATTATCTATAATTTCTGTATTCTTACTTTTCATTATTTTCTATGGTAATTAACAAATTATTACCTCCAAAAGACACTGTTCCTTTAGAATCTTTATGAAGTTGCTGCCTTAGGGCTTGCTGCTGTTCATCTGTGAGCTGAATCCCAAGATAATTCAGTGCCTGGAAGGAAAAAACTTATTTTGGAGTGAAAAAAGAAAGGACTAAGGATAATGACTGCAGGGACATGGGGGAGTAATTAAAGAGCTACACTTCAAAGAGCCTTTGTATCCTGGTACACTCTCACTGACAACACTTTTATTCCAGAGCCACTCAGTGACTTTTCCTTCTAATTGAGAGATGTTCAGATATTATTTAACCTTGAATACAGATGAGTGTAATAAGCAAACCCCTTTGTCCTTAATAACTGCTTTAAAAATCCTGAGGGATGTTCTGATTCCCAGAAGAGTTAATCAGTAATTAGATTAACAAAAACAGTAATTTGCCCAATACATAAACTGAAATATTGGCCTGCAACATGAAAGAACTACCCAAACAGAAAATTCTGTGTGTCATTTATACTTTAAAGTTTGCCAGCCTAGCAGTACTGTCCAGATGTTTTACCTGCATCATGAAGGGGGAGGAAGGAGAACTCAGAAGATTTTTAAGTATTTACCCTCTCCAGCTTTTCTGTTTTTAGATGAATACTCAAGTTCTTTCCTTGGAGCTCATAATCATCATTCTGGCTGGGGGCAAGAACTAAGAAATTAAAAAAAAAGAAAAAAAAAAAAAAAGAAAAAAAAAAGATGTAGTTGTAACTATTGCTTTGAAAAAAATTTGTTCTGAAGCCCTGCTCATCAAGTGGATGCCAGCTAAATACCCACTTGCCAAAAATACATGTTAATCCTCAGACTGACTTATTTTTTTAAAGGACATAATTTTAATCAACAAAAATTATGTGTATCAATCACTTCCACTGGTTTTTTCGCATAAAAAAGCGACAAGTAGGAAATTAACAGAAAATAACCAGGAATAGCTTTGAGTGATCCATCAAGCATATGGCTTCTCCTTGTGGTATTTTCTCTTCTCTCAGAGATACACAGATACTCAGGAAGCAGAAGGGGAAACACACTTGTGAATTCCAAGAGAGACCTCCAAGACACACCCTTAGTGTAAGTGACAGCTGCCACTGGCACATGGAGTGATCTAGAAAACACTGGGGAAGAGAGGGAATGACCTGTTCCCAAACATGGGAGGGAGCTTAGGCTGAACTCTGCAGGCTCCTCAGTATTTTTTCCTGGGAAGGAACTCTTTTCCAAGAACTCCTGTCCATTAGGCCATCACCCATCAGCCCCTTCTACCCTTACAGTCAGAAACACAAGTTTACAGGGGTTTTTTGAAATATATCACATTGGATTTTAGATGTATGCAAATAAAAAAAATTCATTGTTTGCATTCCTTGTTTTAAAAAATAATGTAGGTCTTAAGTCATCATTTAATTAATTAATTAAAAAGGTACTGGAATCAAAACCAGTGTTTGACAAGTAAAGAAAGGATCTTGCAATTTGAGATTCTCTCTAAAGGAACAGAAGGAATCGCAGAGAATTCTTTTTTTCAATTTTTTTTCAGTTTCACAGCGTATCTGTTTCCAAGCTCAAAGTAATTTACATTCTCGTTACATGCCAAAAGCATAAACCAAAATATCTTGAAAATCTCTGACATTAACACCTCTCACATGCTATCTTAAAGTCTGAAGACAGTGGGCTAGAACCTTGGTGGAATTGGCTCAATTTCCCTTCAGCTCAGAATGAAAAAGCTTCGTGTGTGAGTTTGGGCAAAAACTTCTCAAAATTATGCTGATTTTTTCATAAAGTGTTAAAAACAAGAGTATCCCATCTAAGAGATGCTTTAATTTTTCAAGGTAATCTTCAAAAATTCATCCTTGAAAAAGGGTAGCATGAAAGAAGTATCAGATTTTTCAAAAGATGTTCTGTTAAATAAGAAGAAAATGAAATATGACTGCAGCTGCAAGTATTTGTGCTCTCTGCTCTACTCCCTGTGCTCTTCAGATGTGTTCAGAGACTGTGCCCTTCCTGGTGTCTTCAAAAAAAGAAGCTCCTGTGTACTGAATTACATTAACCAAGAGTCTTGCATTCTGAATATATTAAAAAATAAGACTTTTGTCTTGTTCCTTTGATTCAGTTGTAGTGTTTTTCATAGCCAATATGTAAAAACTGCGTGAACATTAATCTCCAGGTGTATTCAATATTAAAACTTTGCCAGTTTCAACAGCCTACATTTGGTCAGCTCACCCTCCAAGGAAGGGAACTAATTGATCAGATTTGTAATATGGGAACTGTTTCATTTTAAATTTGAGTATCTAATATGGGGTATAATAAATGCAGGTACAATTTAAATAATACCAGTGGAGAGATATCTGGAATGAATCAGATCCTGTGTATTTGTTCTTCCTCTCCTCAGTACATTAGACATGAAATTGAGAAGTTCAGCTTATGCTTAATTGCTACTGCCTGAAGAAAAAGAATATTCAGGTCTCCACAGAGAAATACTGAACAGAGTCAGTTCTATCAGAGTGCCAATGGGGACTCCCATTACTGTGTCACACTTGCATTTTCACTGTTTCTAAATACAACTTATTTGTTTCCCACAGGAATTACAATTGTTCAGCTCAGATTTGGTTCTGACCATATTTCACAAAACCTGTTTTTCCTTAAATGTTGTTTTCAAAATAGATATTTCAAGATGTGATCAAAGTGACTCTTGTCCTTGTTACAATGTCATGACTCTAAACCACAAATATACACGATATATTGTATTTGTTACTAACTGAAAAGCTGTTAAGAGGGCTGCATGTTAATTCTATCCTTTCAACATGCTGCCCTGATTTAAGCAAAAAAACCATGCAAGCAGCACACATGCCCAGAATTTCATCAAATCAAGAAAGCACAGTTTCTATGGCAACCTAATCTTGATCTATATGTGAGTCTTCATTATCTGGTTTCTACTGAGTCTATTATCATGACTGCTGTATAGCAAATGTTGTGATCACTCATTTTTGTTTGGTTTCAGCTGTTTGTTGGAGACAATGTAAGTTATATTTGACAGAAGCTACTAAAAATCCATTGATCTCAGTGCTTTATTTAGGAGTATAAAAACAGTGCAATATTCCCTTTTTTTTTAAAGACTATTGAGTCTCACTATGCACTATATTCTGTTTGACTGTTATTGAAAGAACAAGGAAAAGGGTGGCAGGGAATTAAATCAGCACTTACCCGTGGCAGACACATCAGCAGGATTGCTGTCTAGAGCAGTAATTGGAGATTGCTCTCCCATCTTGACTCCAGTTTCCATCTACGAGAGGAAATGAAAAGTCATGAAATACCATTTCTAAAGCAGATCACAAGCCAAACCAGAAATACAGGTTAATGAAAAAAGGGACAGGAAGGAAGACTGGGGGAAGAAAAAAAGGCTGGGGAGATCAAAACAACCCCAGGAGAAAAAGAAAGCATGGAGGGGGTGGTGGTGAGAAGGAACAGCATTGGAAAAAATCAGATTTTCTCTGATTTTGGGGCCTCATCAAAACCTTGGGTTTTGAAAACCTTCACAGATTAAGATAGCACAGTCTCTCTAGGCAACCTACTTCAATATTAACATCCCTAATAGGAAAGAAAAATGGACAAGTATTTTAAGTACAAATATAAGAAGATTGGAGAATCACCTATTTTGACTTTGTATTGGAGAACATTTTATTCTTCCTTCTTCTAAGGCAATACTTTATTTAGCTTTAAAAATATGATAACCTGAAAATCTGCTATCAAAAATTGAAATATTAGTTTTAAAATCTTCTTTCTTATGGTCAACATTATTTCTTTACACTAATGGTGAGCTGTATGGATTAAAACAATTGCCGCTTAGCCAAATGAATGGGGGGAAACCCCACAAACTTCTAGGACTTTTTTAAAGCAAAAATCTCATCGTCACAGAGCAAGTGTGAGATTGTACTGTACTCACACATATGTAGTAAGCAGGGAGTGTTTTATCTCTGAAATTCATAACTATTTATATCTAATTCCAAAACTTCAGAGAAACAGTGAAGGAGAACTTGGTATCTAAGAACACAGTTAATGCTTGTTTAATTTTTCTTACCCCAAGTCAACTAATTCCTCTCATCAGTGTGGTTTACTCTCCTGTTATACAACATGGTTTTTTCAAAAGTTTTGATATTCCAAAGACAATATTGTGCAGGGAAACAGACAGTCATTTTCTTAATAAAATGGAAATTTAATTACAATTAGCAGAAAAACAATCATTTGCTCAGTTTGTTATAAGAGGAGTAACAAACACACTCACAGCATCTGGAGGGAATGCTGAAACCAGTCTCCCACTAGGAGAGGGAAGAGGACCAAGTGTTGCAGCCTGTTGCTCTCCATGTGCTACAGAAGATGGTAAGAGGCTGAAAGGATGTTGCAGATTCTGTGGAAGACTAGGTATGTTTTTCTGCCTAATAAAAGCTATCTCCCAAAAATTTTCAAACCTAGAATAAAAATGTAAAAAGTTTCAACATATTGTATACTTACATTATTAATAAGATTATACTTCTGCAAAAATTACATGTTTCCAAACACCATGTGTGGATTTATTTAATTATTTTTCTAAAAGGATGTTCTGTTACCCATCATTACAAAGACAAATACTGTAATTTTTTAAACATTAAAGTATCGTAATTTTGCAGGTCTAAAAGATGCACTTGAAATCTTTTCTACAAAATAATATTACAACTGAATATTTAAAAAAAATTAGTATCCCTCATTTCCTCTAAGCACACAAAAACACATTTCACATTAATCTGATCATAAATATCATCTATTAAACCATTCTGGATGGTTGGCTGTTTGACAGCAACAGATACCTCATCTTTGTTCTGTTGATTATACTCTTTGCCTCTTCATAGGAGACTCCAATCATGGACTCTTTGTTGATGGACACAAGCTGATCCCCGGGTTTCAATCGTCCATCCTAAAATAACAAATATAAAACCCACAAACTTTATATTAATTGCTAACAATACAGAAAGAACTGTATAGTCACAGCACTTGGACAAATTCCCCTGGTTCTATTAGGACAAAAATACCAAGAACAGCTCTGCATTCTACCTGTGCTTGACAACTCTCCAGAAATAAACAGATTAAACAATCATCCCTTACCATTAAAGCAGTCATTATAAAAAATCATCACAGAAAACAGACCTCAGAAATTGTATAAAGAACAACTTTGGACCCAGATAAACATTTCTGTTTAAAAAAAAAAAAACAACAAAACCAAACCAAGGAAAGAAACAACAGATTTTTCCAGCACTGACCCATCTGACTTTAGGAAGCTTCTTTACTAACTAATTCAGCTCTGAGCTGGTTAATTTGTATTTCAAAAGCAAATGTTCATGGCAATACATGAAACTCTTCAGACACTCACTGGCCATGTTAATGAGAAAACCAGATTGGTCTATTAGTACTCACCAGGCAAAACCATGACAGAAATAATATTGTCAGCTCTGTGCTTCTGTTGAATTAATTGCAAGCTCTCTACCAGCACAAGAACATTTCACATTTCTGTCCCAGAGACTCTAAGACAAGACTTTAAACATGCTAGGCTAGATTTCTCACTAAGATAAGCTAAGATAGAGCTTTTATTGCTCACATTTTAACAGAGCCCTCAACAATTCAACTGGTGTAATTCACCTATGGTTACAGAGTTATGACATTTGTCTAATGAAATACACATCATGTAACACAGAATATGTCTCTGCTCTTCAGCTCCTAAGAAATCAAACACAAAATCACTCTATGTGGAAAAAAAAAAATTGTGTGCAGAAAATGATACATAGGAAATAGGCAAAATACCTTCTCAAAACCAGTATAATTTTACCTGCTTAACACCCACATACCATAATTTTAGCTGTGTCATTTCAAACCTGTGCCAGTACTTTACTACCTTTTTTTTTTTTTTTGTCACTTAGTGTTTTGGTTTTGGTTAAAGAATAAAGCTGTAGATCTTTTATTTTGCTTTCATCCAGCATGTTCTAAGATATCCAACAGTGCCCTCACATGGCAGATGATTAAAATATGCTTCCTGTTTCACCTTCCCAAAGAGAACCAGTATTGGGAAATTACCTCTATTATTGCTAATATTAGAGCCTAATGGAAATTGATGTCTTAGCCTCAGTCTATTGATTATGTGTGATAGGCTTTAAATTACATATTCACAGTGAGAAAAATATTTTAGAAGCCACAACAAAATAGGAGAAAATAAAAGAGGAACGATTACCATTCATCTATTGAAAGAGGTCTTTGAGAAACATGGCATTTTCATCTTCCAGCTTGCATTTTAGGATTAAACTTAGTCTACAAAAATTCAGTAACAAATAGTTATGAACTGCCTGGGGACAAAACCCACTGCTCATGAATTGAGCTGGTCCCCTCTTGCTGGGCCAGAGGCAAAGGGTGCTTATCTACACTTCCAAACAACCATAATTACTCAGGATGCCAGAGGAGACACTTGGATAAACAGTTCTGTGTACCTGAACCAGGCAACTACATTATTTATTTACTTTTTACACTGACAAATCCCCCTGATTTACATACTGCATTCATCACACATTAAAACAGTAATCAACACCAATTCATACATTTTATTAGTCTGCACTTTCTGAATATTTTTTTTTTCTAATTTGCCTACACAATGATTTCCAACTACAAGGATCCACCTAAATTAAGTCTCAGGGAAATAAGATTTTTTCAATGTCCAAGAAACAAAAAGAGGTGCAATCTGTAGCTCTGTCCCATCATTCCTGATTTACCTTGCACCACGCAATCTCTTATAGAAGTTGGTTTTGTACCTTCTCATACATAAACTGAGGAATAAGATCCTCATTTACCTCAAATGAACTTAGGAATAAATTTTCATTACCATGTAACTCTGTTACAGTGCAGTGAGATAATTCTGTTAAAAGAGAAGGCAAGGAGGAACACAAACACATTTTGTATTTAAAATATGACTGCAGATGTAGCATACCAAAGCAATTAAGGCAAAAACGCAGGTGTCTGAAGAGGAAGGAAGGGAAAAAGGGCCTTTACCTTATGGCAATCACCACCAGGGATAATTTCTTGAATATAAACCAAAGGCCCTTCATTTCTGTTAATTCCTCCCACAATATTCAAACCCAGGCTTGTTCCTTTGCAAACAGAGATAATCTGAAATGCACTGTCACTAGAGGCACAAAGAGAAAGAAAAAACAGAATTACTTCACAGAACTAGATAATAAAGACTGAAGCAGTAACTTACATTATCTTACAGCTTTTGCAAGTATGTATAACAGTAACAAACAGAAATATTGGAAATTTAATCTCAGTGTTCAAATATTACACTGTTTACAACAAAATCAGCAACCTCGGGCACTTCTGACAATTACAAAAAGAATTTATACTCTATTTTACAAGGCTAAAAACTCCTCTTTACTATATAGAGTAGAGATATATACCATATCCCAAGGCTTATGGGAGTATCTGGGTACACATAAACCAGGAACATTAATTCATTAGATGGCAGAAAAAAAATTAACCTGATTAATCTTCTGCCACATAAATAAATAAATAGAAAAAAAAACTTATTAGTCTGCAATGTCGATGGTATTAGGAGCTAAAGGACTAGAAGTTAAAACATATAACCAAAATTTAACACTTAGGGCTCAACCCAAATTTTCCTGACCCGCCAAACAACAGCATTTCCTGCAGCTCCCACAAGAGAGGCACAGTCACTTTGGAGATTACTTTGGAAGCTTTGGGGATGGTGGTGGGACAGAATTTCTGCTGCTGCTGCTGGTGATGCTATCCTTCAGAGGCAACTGAGGACTCTGTGAACTTGAGGATGACCCAGAAGAAAGGCTGTCTCTAGATTTTGCTTAAAAAACAGAAATAATAATATAAGTAACTAAATAAAAAACACATTTGGGAAAAAGCACAAAATTTCAGCTCATGTAAGGAAGTTCAGTTCAGTAAACAGAAGACTATTGTAATATTAGAAAACAGACAAACTAAGCAATCAGACAACCAAAAAAAATGCCTGCACAGTTAGGAACTGAGAGCCACCCAGTGTTTCAGGAATAATTTTTAAAAATGTAACAAGTGATGATTTTTTTTCAGATTGGGTGCAAAGTACAAAACAGACCAATCCCTCATGCTATATAAAGGCATCTTAACTAGGCAGTGGCTTCAGAAAGATTAGAATGTCTAGAATTTCAACTTTTAATTAGCATTTTGTGGCATAGTTCAGCTACAAATACAAAAAACTTTTCACATAAATAATTAATTAAAATTGAAAGTTGATACCAGTATATTTATTTAAAGAGCTGGGGAAACTAACACATAAATTCCTCAAGGTACATGTGTGTTTTGTCTGACTTTCAGCCACTTCCTCCAATACACCTCCCCTAAAACAAGGAATTTTAAGTACAAGTTTCTACTCCATCCAAGGCTGATTTTTGTCCCCCAGGATTGTTTCAGGCTGGGAAGTGATCTCTCACCAGCTAACTGATGTGTTGGAGAAGTTCTTGCAGACGTGGTGTCACTGTGAGAGCCATACTTATCCATTAGGTCATGAAATTCCTTCCTGTGCCAATAAAAAGATTTTCTTTGTCAGTTTGAATGGACCCTGTGAAACCTGCACTGCTTGTACCAAACAGCTGGTCCTCCTCAGAGAAAGAAGCTCAACCTCCACTGACAGAGGAAAGCTCTGTCAAATGGTCAGAAAAGGCAAAAAAAAATCATGTAATGCATTATAAAGATGGGAAAACAACAGACTATGGACAAAATGGACTCGTGGTACAAAAGCTTTATTTTTACCTCTCTTTACCCTGAATTACAAAACTTTAAAAACTTGTCATATAATCAACTACAGATACTAAGAAAATGGTACTACCAAGCTCCAGAACAATTAGAGGGAATCAGATTACACACCTATAGCATAATCATGTTTTTAAAGAATGCTTTTAGTTCAAATACACTGAACAAGAACCCAGAACAGACTGACAAAGATATGGCTCCTTAAAAACAAGAGGACAGAGAAATATTTGTTAACCACTAAAAGCCAAAAGCAGAAATTGCATGCAGACACCAATCATATTGCACCAGACAGGCAAAGATGTACATCTTGTGTGACAGGCACTGAAGAGAATACAAAAACAGCTGATTCATCTGATATTTGATCCAGCCTAATTTAAGAAAAAAAGTTTATAATCTGAGCTCTGATTACCTCAGTGATAACTGATTTAAAAGATATAGAGTGATGTAAGTCAGCAACATCACCTAATTAATATTACAGAATTAGTCAGAGAGAAAAGAAATTAACTGACTGCAAGGAAAGTAATTCCCAGGTAATTCCAGTTTGACTTCTGAAGGTTGTTCAAAAATGCTGGGTGCGTCATTTCTTAAAAAAGAACAACACTTATTGTATTAATGCTGGCCCCAGGGTACAAACATAAACACAGATGAATGTAAATCAAATAATCTTTAAGCATAAAATGTACAGTTAAAAGGTGGCTGGTGAGGGACTGCATGGAGTGGCAAATTCTGCCCAGGCCACTGCACTTCCCCCCCAGAGTGGTTAAAGGACTGATGGATTTTAATTATTCAAGGAGTTTACAGGAACTAGGCCAGTATGCTTTAGATAAAAGCAGATTAAGAGTGGACCTCACATATATCTAGGCAGTCTGAAAAAAGGAGAGATCAGAGGCTACAGAGTGATTTAGATGTCTGTCAAACACAAAAAAATCAAGGAACAGAAAGAGAAAGCTTAACTTGGACAAAAGGCTAAAGGAATTTAGAGAAAAATCCTTTATGGGGAGATTACTCTGGAAGTGGAACATCTCAGGAAAGGCAAATAACAGCAGATACTCTTGCAGTGATTATAAAAAATAGTTACATAACAGCTGTTTTCTCCTGAGATTTAAGTCAAAAGGGGATACAGATGTGGTTTGTCACATTGCTGATGATTCTCTGCCAATATTGGTTTATATGCTTAACTTTCATCAGTCAGGTTAAAGCAATATGTAACATAAATGTCCTTAAAATGAATATACTTTAGACTGCCTGCTGCAGCGAATAGTTTAACCTACTTATCCAAACTATTCAAAGCACATTAGAAATTGAAAAGCAAACTTCTGAGGGGAAAAGAACAACTGAATCTGCCTTTTATCAGAAGGCAAGACAAGTTTAAATCTTACAGTTTTGTGGTAGCTCTAGCAGAGTCCTCATTTTTCGTTATTTTAAAATGTGAGAAGTATTAAAAAAATGATCACAGCAGATAATTTTTAATGGTATTAGCTGTAAACACAACATTACAATCCTCCTCTTTAAACTGAAGTTGGCCTGAGCTTGCTACTTGAAGTGATTGATGTAAGTGATCTCAGAATGAACTGGCATCAAATACCACACAGGAAAATGTGAGATGTGGTGCAATTCTGCAATTAAAACTAATCTGAAATAAAAATACATGCAAGCCCACCCACCCTGAGATACAGCAGTGGACTTTTATTAGTTTTGAGGTTAAAACAATTTTTCACTTACTTTGCTTCTTCATCTCTAGCAACGAGCAGAGACATGTGATTAGAGGCTGATGCTGTTCTCAAGATGTCAACAGCCCTAGAAAGGGGCAGAAAAAGGCCAAATAAATATACCAGGGTGCTGGCAAGAAGTGAGCAGTGCTAGAAGAGCAGGAAAATGGACAAAATGCTAAGGTAGTTAATAATTTTCATGGCCAGGTACAAAGAAAAGAGCTTGGCAGCAGCAAAACTTAAGTGAGCGCCAGGGAATGGAGCAAAAGACAGGCTGTGGTGCATCTGCTGACTGCAATAAACTAGGACTGACCTCTCTTTCCTTCCCTTCTGTCCTCATCCCTCCTTGGGCCACCCTGCTGCCTTCCTGAGCCTCCTTCAGGATTAACAGCCCATCCCAATAAAAGCTACTGCTCAGGTGTGCCTGGCTCAGAATCTCCCTCAGCAATACAAATGGCAATTTTCCTTTGCATTTTCAGTCTCCATCTCCAGCACTGAAAGCTGCACTGATCTCTACAGATCCAGCTACAGTACTGAACCAGCAGGTATTTGTATTAACAGCTTCTACTGCTGTTTTCATACACATTCTGTAATCTGTGTCATTAAGAAACCAGCTGATTCTGCTGTTACAGAAGCATATAAAGTCCTTCACTTTTCTACAACAGTTTTGCTGAATTAGATTTACAGGACAAATTACTTGCGAGTTGAACTCCAAAGATCTCACAGGAGCTGTGCTCTTTCATTCACTGACAGTGTCCAAAATAATCCATGTATAACATTCCAAGCTCTAATAAACATTCAGGAATCAGTACAAACATACCTTTCGTTTGTTACTCCAACCAGGTTTTCTCCATTGACATCCAGAATTAGGTCCCCAGTGAGCAAACGGCCTTTAAATGAAACCAATGGTGATTGATGAATCAACAATTCAAAAATGGTGAACATATTGTATAAAACCAGGTATTAACCCAGGACTTTTCCTTTCTATTTTACATGACTTAATGCATTAAACAACTTTATGACTCCTGGCACCTGATCTTAAGTAAGACAGATAATTGAGATAAGACTAGAACCTATAATCAGTCTTACTAACAACAGAATAGCCAGTAAAAATAACTGTCATTTAGCTATTTGTGTTATTTACACACAGCATAAGTATTTTTGAGACTAGAATTTATATTTTACAGTTATGGAACTAATTTTATTTGACTCCAGCTCTTAACATTACTGTAAGTTAGCATGTATAGATATATTAATGTTTTAGACATCAATAAAGTCAGCTAAAAGATTTTTTAGAACCAATTCTACCTTTTAACATCCTGAAAATCTCAAGTTTAGGAAGTTGAATCAGATTATTTTAAATTATCATGTTGCACAAGACAAGCTGGAATCTCAAAAAAGCCCATACAGAGATCTAGAACAGAAGTCTGTAGTTTAATTATTGCAAATTCTACTGAGAGTAATTTCTTGTCTCCACACAGATCTTAACAACCAGCATACCACCATTAAAAAAAAAGTAATAAAAATTATCAGAACGAATTAAAAGTACTATGTTTATACAGGAAACCCTACTCTTATACCTTATAAATTAAAAGTGACTCAGCACCTCAACACTCACTTAACAGTACTGCCAATTGCCAGAAAGACTGCTAATTGCCTTCACCAGCCATATCTAGATTTGAACACATTTTCAAGACCTGAGTGTATTAAAATCTTTTTCCATAAAGGGTCCAAGTTTCATTTATCTATCTTAAAGTAAGCTAAAACCTCATAGAACTTGACTAAACCATACTATTTTAAATATCCTTACCCACAAAGTAAAATAAAGACTTATTTTGACAGCTTTTTATATGCAGTGTGTTTGTAGGCAAAAAAGTTAAAATTACTTACTATCTACAGCAGCCACCCCCCCAGGTAGAATTCTCTTTATGAAAATCCCATAATCTTCTGCTGTTTGTGCCCGATAACCTCCAATAATTTTAACTCCTGAACAACAAACAAAAAGACAAAAGTGAAAAATTGGTTATTCCAATTGGTTAGAATTGGTTATTCTGTTGTGCTAAATGTATTTGCAGTCAAATCCATGAAAGCCAAATAAACTTTCCTGATGCCAGGTATGAGCTGGCAAAGGTGTTTTTAGGTTTGATTTACTCAGAATAACAGAATGTGCAATCTTAGTTACCTAATCCATTCTGGCAATCAGAGAAAGAGAGGCGGTGAACAGCTCGATTAATTCCATGAGGGCCCATAATGGTCCTAAGGAACAAAATAAAAGTAATCAAGTTACAGAAATGAGACAGAGCTGTATTAACAGAAAATAAACTACAGTGACTGTGTTTTCAACTCAAATACAAACCCAAACCTCCTTTCTCCACTTACAACTTCATATTGCTTGACATCTCTGAGCCATCATCTCCCCAGCCAAAAATCAATCTGTTCATCACAAATATCAGATGCAAAGGTACAATAAATATACAGAATTTACTTCCTTTTCCCCCAAAGCACTTCAGGCTCAACTGTGAATCCCACTTTGTGTAATAAAAGGATTGTGATTAAATATAAACAAAATTCCACAAGCTGGTCCACCTTAACATTTAGGCAAGAAAAACATAAAATCAGTTTTCATTAGGTAATGAATATTTGAACAAAAGCACACCTAAGCCAGTGCATAAAATTATTTCCTAAGAGAACTAAAATATAATTTTTTCTATTTATGGACATAATCTTTTCCCAAATCTCCTAATTTCTTCACCCAACATTGATTTCTTTCTCTATTGTAAAAAAGGCTTCTTTCCAAATTCTTTTGCTTGATCCTCTGTGTACCTTCCCACCCCAAGGGAAAATACCAGGATGGCACTTGGAATTGTCTAAAGGCAGAGAAATATTTTGAAGGCAGTTGATCATGAAACAGAATTTAAAAAGAATACAAAGTAAAATTAGAGCTTTGAAACCTAAATTCACAGTTTCATCAGACTCATGATCAGTACACTGCTCTGAGAACGCAGAGTATTAATCTGGAAATAAATCCAGATTACCCTTTACCAGGTTTTATTTTCATGTAGATGAATTATGGATAAAAAAAATGTTAGTTGTATTATATGTCCTCTGTCCTTTCACTGCAACTTTTTTGGAGCAGACAGCAGATCTCTTCTAGAAAAGAGCAAAAGAACCACAGAGGTTTTTCTGCTTTGACCTACATATTGTGCTACATTAGATAGAGAGTTGTATTTTCTAGAGGGTCCTAGTGAAATGGAACAACAAGAATTCATTAGCAGGGTGGGAAAGAAGATCAAAGTGGAGGACACAGTGACCCAAATCCTTCCACACAACCTAATCCAGCACACAGCCTGAACTCTATGCCTGAAACTGGGTACATCTGCAAAAGCCAGAGTACATCATTAAAAGGTGCTGTGCCAGAAGGAAGAGATAAATCCAGAAGGTTCAAATGTTCTAAAAATTCTAGCACTAGCCAGGAGATCCAGCTTCTAAAGAATATCTGCAGTTCTTTTGGTTTTGTAGAAGAAAACTGGATGAGATTTTTTAATTGAAGGATAAGCACTAGCTCTGAAAAGCAACGATTTCCCAAAACCTCCTATTTCCAAGTATTTGCAAAATTAGCCTTTGCTTTAGAAAGGCCAGCCACGAGAAGAGACCTAATAATTCTAATAACCTTTAGAAACAAAAAGTAAACCTATGCTTCAAGCACTATATAATCTTCACTGCAGTATTTCTTATTTTAGCCTGTTTCACAGGCTAAAAAGAAAAAGCCCAGTGTATTTGGTGTGTGTTTGACAGGACTGCACAGGACCATGCCATGATATGTCAGAGCATAAGGTACCCTTTGTAGGGCTAAAAGTGAACCAAAATGTTTTTACTTAATCACAGCCTGAAAGGAAGAACAAATCCCCAAGCTCAATATTTCTTTAAGAATATTCTTTGGACAACCTCCTACTCCTTCACAAGAACAAAGTATCTTGCATTACTATCCAGTACTGTCACTGCAATTATCCCACAAATTTGTTCTGAGGCTGAAGGACAGCATCCTAGTCATGCTTTGTCCTGACTTGTCTCAGTCTCTGAAATCTTAAACAAGGTACACTGATCTTTAAAATAGGCAACTACTCAAATTTTTTCTCTCTTGCCTTTTGGACTACTGCTGTTGAGTTTGCTCTGCCATTCCCTCTCAGCAGTTTTCACACGGCAGTTTTTTTGTTAATATTAAAAATCAAGAACAAAAGTTACCTCAACCTTGCACAAACCGACACAGAGGTTTTACTTTCGCAAAATCTGAAAAGATCAAATCTCAGACTTTAAGTCTGAAGTCTAGAGTTTGCCAGAAATTGTAGAACTTCTTTAAATACTACCACATAAAATAATGAAATATGATCAAATCTAAGAACAGGACCATTAATAGGAAAGAGAGATCCTAACGGAACTATAATGGATTCTGACAAAGAGGACACAGAGAACACAAAACTGATCATTATTTTTAGTCAGTGGAGAGGAGTAAGATATCTCTGAAACACTGGAATTGTGATGCTGCCACCTACAATTACAAAGAACTGACACTTTGGACAGACAACTTTTACAAGGTACTCAGGTCTGTTTATGCTCTAAAGACTAAATCCCTCCAATACATGCAGTTTAAAATTTACTCTAGCACATAAAAGTAAAGACAAAGATTTTCAAACACCTCAAATTTATTAAACATATCACATCTAGTTGACTTGCAGTGTTAGGGGATTTTTTTCCCATATAACACAGATCTTCAAGTCAAGCTACTTGTCATAGTCATAAAATAAACAGAGCTTTAACAATTTCACTGTAAAATGACTTGGATTCAGTACCCATCCAACATTTATTTTATGTCATCAATTTCAGTATTTGTGAAATGTTAGAATATTTCTCCCAGAGCTTTAGAATCATGCTTAACAGTACAAACAAGGAAACAGGCTTCTAAACCAGTTGGCAGTAGTAACAAAAAATAATCTGATGTTGCTACTCATTTTTTGAGGTCAGGCAAAAGTACCTGTAAGGAAGGTTTTAGCACATAGAGAAGATGTGAGATGAGATGAAATAAACAAGTAAAACTCACCAAAACGTACACTATAACCATCTTATACTGAAATATACTAAACTCAACACTCTAGCTGAAGTCCTGGAATGAAACAGACTAAGTGTGCAACATTTTGTGTAGATGTTACAGTAAGGACAATTAAAATGAACCTGCTTCTATTACTTTTTAGCAGCATACACAAAGAAGTTCAACAAGTTTGGGGTTTATTTCTTTGAGTACTTATGAGAACATACAGCTCCAGATATTCTTCTGCTCTCTATTCCTGAGAAGTTAATAATCATTTATGTGCATAAACAAAATATTTACCTATGTTTATCAACGGGAGAATAATACACTTTACTCACAAAACACGTATCACTTGACACACAAAAATCTAAATTATAAACTCTGGCTGTTGATGAAAAGAAGCTGAAAATTATCAGGTTTTAAATTATCTTTCCTGTACTTTGCCCAATTACAGACTAGAGCAATGCCCTCAGAACTGAATGGTTCAGCATACCAGTATAAAAGAGAGAGACCATCAAAACGCTCTGGTTCATCTTCAGCCCCTGGAGAAAGCAAGGACATCCTTCAGCACAGCAGGAAAAACAAGGACAACGCAACCAAAACACACTGGAGGTTTCCAGTTCAGCTGGATAAAGGTTGTGAGCAGGATGATTTCTGCTAACAAGTAAAAAACCCAAACACAGAGCTCCAGCTGAGCGTTCTGCCTACTTAATCTTCTCTGAAAGCCTCTGCGTCACATGCACTAATTCACCTAGAGAGGTAATGCTTACTTTTTCTCTCTTTGAAACAGCCATTTAGAGCAACTTTAAAGACTGATAAATGCAAAGGAGAAAATTTACTCCACTGTGATTAAGCAATCTAGACACAGCAGCCAAAGGCAAATGCAATGATTAAAAGCAACTTATTTCCTCCCGTTCTTCTAATAATTTATTTACATGCTCCCTGCAAACAAGGTCAAAAGCAGTAACTCATGACCTTTCTAAAGCAATCTTCCTAACACACTGCATTATGCACAGCCACACAAAAGGGAAAGCCAACAAAGCAGACTGGGAGTATTAATGAAACAAATGCCATTATGCTATTACTTTTCATTCTCAGTCATGGTACTGGCTTGTACCATGATCTAACTTGATTTTTAGACTTTCAAGATACAGCAGTCAAAAGTCAACACAGAGCTTGTGTTATTTATTTTCTCTAGAAATGTAAGCTGACATGTACTTTTCTGGGAAAGGAAACAAAACTGTCAAATTTATGTCATTACACTGGGAATAATGTAGTTTAAGAAGCCAAATGTATCACCCCTTTCCCAGAGGTCAGATCCTGTGATAGGAGACTTGGTCTTACAGAGAGATGCACATTTTCAGAAATTCTGAGCATTGACATCAGTTTGGTTAATGAATGTTTCCTTCCAGGCTTGCCTCAGAAGTACCCCTACTACTCCCCCTCTCTCAAAAGATCACAAGACGACTTCAGCTTGAAATGAAAGCCTACTACCCTGTGTTCACTGAGGGCTTTAAGTAGAAAGGTGAATCCTCTCTAGCCAGGAGCAACCCTGTGATCAGACAGCATCTGTCAGGTCTGGAGGTGCAGCAGGACGGCTCGGCTATGCCAGGAATGCAAAAGCTTATCTCAGGCATATTTTTTTTTTTTTTTTTAAAGCTGCAGTGACTGTGGTTTCATTAGCAGATAATCCTTCTGGGGAAAGGATCCCTTTGCTGAGCGACAATATGCTGAACAGTGTTCACAGAGAGTGGTCAGTCCTGAAAGCCTGCAACGCACACAAAGAAGGGGCAGAGTGACCCACCACAGATTAAGGAGCAGATCAGAGATGGAAATGGGAACATAAAGCAGCCTTCCTAGTTCCCAAATAGTGAAAAGGCCCAGTGGCACAGTGACCACATCCATTCAGAGATTAAAATTTGCCCCTTTGCAGCGTTTCCTCAGTCAGCTCACTCTGCTGCTGTTACCGGCACTACAGAAAAACCATTGATATTTTAAGCCTCATATCAATTAGATTTGCTCTAGGCAAGGTTACAGAAGATAAAGTACCAATAGATTTTCTCCAATAAAACAACCTCTGTACTTAACATCAGTGGAGTTCAATTTGTGGTATCAAAATCAGGAGCATTTGTCAAAATACATCACTCAGACTAACCAGTGTCACATTTTCTGCTATAGAAATCCACCAATTAACACACTGCTCAAGTCTCTCCAATTTCCTTGTTAAAAAGGAAAAAGTTATTTTGATTAAACCAGACATGGCAAACTTCTACACAATTTAAGCAGATATAAAGTAGTATTAGTCTTACTGCTCTCATCTCATTAGAGTTATTACCAGTAATACATGACTTGTTCAGAAGATTGCTCCTCCACTCCTTCTTCCAAGTAAATTGTGCTTTGTTCAGCTTCCTGAACTCATCCCCAAGGCTTCTATCCCTCTTTACCTTCAAATTCTGTTGCTGTGCTGCTTTTAATGAGTGACAGCATTATTGCTTCTCTTGCAAGTGCTCTGCCTTTCAAGAATGTGCTCAGAGGAACACAAATTACTTTTTACTTCCAGAAAGATCTAGGAAAATTGTAAGTCAAAACTCCATGAAATTTAGTATAAATAAGTAAGACTCAATTTTCAAGAGTTGTCATTTGTTGTTAAGTAAGATTCATTTCCAAGCAGCTGGGAAACTATTCCTTTCTGGCAACATTTGTAATTACAACTTGTTTTTCCCAAGGGAAGTTTTGCAATACTTTAGCAACTGAGATAGATTACATGATAATTTAGCAGATGACAAAAAGATCTGCAGAATCTTTGGAAGTTTGATTCACAAGATGAATAAACCAAAGGCCTTCTAAAAAAACCTATACAAATCCACTATGCAACTGTAGCTTTTCAGCTTCACTAACCCCAAGTTCAGATTTTAAGGACTGTAGGCAAAGGAATGCTGTATCACACAGCATGGATGAGCACTCAGTGTGATCCATCCAAACCCACTCATTATTCAAAATACATTCAGCTTATTACATTCTGCTATAAAGTTTAAAAGAAAACACAGGTCATTATACAGCAACTGTTAAGCCTAAAAAAAGCTTGGGCAACATTGTAATTGTATAGAAACATGAATGGTTTGAGGCTAACCCCCTGCACAGAGAAGAAAGGTATGATTTGAAGTTCAGGTAACTTATAACCTCAGTTAACATATAACCAAGTCCATTCTGGGAAGCATCATCTCCTACAAGAAATAAAAGTACAGAAAATTACAGCCTGCCATCAGCATGCAGCTGAAGTGCAGTTTTAGGTGCCTTTCCTGTTCATCTCTAATGTGAAAAATCGCCTTTGGAATACAGCGAGCTAGGAACTACTCATGTAAACTACTCATCTTTCACATGACTCTAGCAAGCCACAGCTGTCTCAAAGATGTATCTTTGTGATCACATACCATGAACTTCCATCAGACAAGCAGAGTTTTGGTTTCTCCAGGTCCCAGTAAAAAGCAAGTCAGTTTTTTTAATGTTTTGTGGTTTTTCTTTTCTAACCAATCAAGTTATTTAAGAGGTGGCGTAATTCTAAATCTATGTTAATTTTTTTATTATTCTTCTGAATACTCTTTGCTGGATTCTATTGCACAAGTACAACAAACATGGTAAGTCCAGCAAGAGCTGCCTGTGCCTGGTTTTAATTCTGGTTTTGATGACAGCATTGGCATGGTTATTTGGCAGTTTGGAAAGGGTCTGGGTTTACACTTTTAAATCATGACTGAATCCATGTTTGACATTTAGAATGTGATCCAACTCTTAAGTGGGAAAGACTATGTTTTATAGAATGAACATAATTTTTTTACATCCTGTGACATTGGTAAAAATACGATGGTTCCTAAGTACTACATATAAAATATTAAAGGTATAGAGACAGAGTATTCTGAAAAAGTAATGCACTGTAATACAAAACCCCCAGTCTTATGCTACTGCAGGTACCCCAGATGTACAAAGAAGTTATCTACTATATGCAAATATATTTTCATGGCTCAGAAGCAATAAATTAAGAAATCTCTATGCAGGGTTTTATCTCCACAAAACTAGTCCTAACCAAGTGCAGATTAAATTAATGAAAAGCTTAAGGGACGACTCCTCCCTTAAAGTGTAAATTCACTGGTGTTGGTGTCAACTTTCCTACGGCGTTACTGCAGACTGCTTCAATATCAAAGTTATTTTTCTTTAAGCCTTCATCAAGACAAGATCCTACTAATGACATGGCAAAAATTTTAATATTATGATCCATTAATTGTATTTCTGTATCTAGGGAAAAAAAGTACTTACTCCTTCTCTGTATTTGTGAGGGGATCTGTACTGGACATCTTCTTAGAAGCACTACTAAAATAAAAGTTCAAAGTAAGAGTTCTGACACATGAAGAACAGGCTCCTACCCAGGATTAAAATCTTCTAAAATAGGAAAAAAACAGATTACAATTCTAGGATTATGCAACATAACTGCAGAAGGCAAAGACAATTCCTTTTTTTTTTTTCCATTTAAAGTTACTTGGAAAGGGAATGGTGTTTTGTGTGTCTTGTTTTCTCATGGTTTTTTTACTTACTCTCTGGTATTTAGTGTCTCTGAACATGAAGTACGTGGAACAGGCCAAAACACACAAAATGGGCTTACATACCACTAATGCAGCAAAAGCCTCCAGAAATTGACATTGTATTTTTATTAGTACATACAACAGGTTGACAGGAAATACAACCCTGGATGTACTGAACTACAGTCATTTCAGAAACTGCTAAAAAAGCATTAATGTAAAAAATATCCATTTGTATCAGCAGCAGCAAATCTTCCTGACCTTGTGCACGGCTGAGCCCTCACATGCCACAACCCAGAACAGGAATTATTTCCAAAACAAGAGGGGCAAGGAACTCTCCCAACACGCAGGCAAAGACCGTTCAGGTGCTCCTGGCACCAACGTCACTCCACAGACCCCGGCCAAGATACAGCAGAACCCCCAGGTGCAGTGTGAGCCTCCACAAAACCACCCCAATTCCTGCACGTCTGTACTTCTTGTGTGAAAAAGATGTTAAATCCAGTTGGAATGCCACAAATGCTCCTGCAGTAAACGTCTTCAGGTTTTGCTCACTAAAGAACCAAAAAGTCATCTGAAGACAGGGGAAATAACACAGTATGGCTACACTGAGCCTTTATCATTCTCTTATTCAACGTGGAAAATGAAGTACCGGGAGCTGCCAGTCTTTGTGTAATTCACCTTACTGGAAGTGCCACAGAAGAGGGACACAGCTCTAAAGCAATAAATTCAAGTAATGCTACAGCAAATTTTATTACAGTGCCCGGCACCAGCCGCGTGAAAAACTATTGTTTGTGAACTTGCCCGACTTCGCCCGTCCTCAGGTTACTGCTGGTTACTAACAGCGCTCGCTGCCTTTGCAGCGTGTCAGTATCTCTGCCGGAACAAAAACAAATCCCTAGAAATGAAACTAACGAGAAGCAAAGCACCGGAGGAAAAAAGGAACAAACAAACAACCGGTGTTAAGTGTCTACAAAAGGGGAGAAACTGCAGGCCCCAGAAGGACCACCCGGAGCAGCCCCGCACCCAGCGCCCGTCCTGGGGCCGCCGGCGCGGAACCACCTGAGGGATAACCAGGCATCAGCGGGACCCGGGTCATCCCTGCGGTACCAGGTACCTCCGGTGCGGTGTACCTGCGGGACCACCGCCCCTCCCGGTGACCCCGCTCCTGGCCGGCCTTTCGGTGCCACTCCCGTCCGGCACAGCCCACTCGGTGCGGGATCGGAGCCGTGGAACCCCGCCGGCCTGTGGGCTACTCCAGTTACCTCGTACACAACCTGCGCCCGAGCCGTCCCGCTGGCGGGCGAGGAGGGGGCAGCCACGGACGGCTCCGCCGGGACCCCCTCGCTCAGCGCGCTCTGAGGGGGCGCAGAAAGCGATGATGCGATGGCGGCTCGGCCCACCCCCGCCCTCTACTTTCCCTCCTCCTCCCGCCCCCGTCCCGCCCTATTCCCCACCCGTTCCCCGGCCGCCCGTCCCGAAAGCCCCCGCGCTGCGGTCATGGCGCTGTGCGGGCGGGGCTGGGCGCGCTGTGCCCGCGGGCTGCGGCTCGGGGCCTTGCCCCGGCCCGGGCTCTGCGGGACCCGCGGCGTGCGGGGCTCCAACCCCTTCACCCGGCAGCAGGAGGAGGAGTGGCGCCGCAGGAACCGCTCGGCCGTGGGCTACATCGCGGCGGCGGCCGTGGGCATGGTGGGGCTGTCGTACGCGGCCGTGCCGCTCTACCGCCTCTACTGCCAGGTACGGGGGGCCCGCGGCCGGCGCCGGTTCCGCGGGCGCGGGGCCCTCACTGCCCTTCCCTGACAGGCCACGGGGCTCGGCGGGACGGCGGGCACGGGGCGCGACGTGGAGCGGATCGAGCGCATGGAGCCCGTGCGGGACCGGCTCATCAGGGTCACGTTCAACGCCGACACGCACGCCAGCATCCAGTGGAACTTCAAACCGCAGCAGAGCGAGATCTACGTGAGTCACCGCCTTCCCCCCGCGCAGAGCCGTGCTCACGCTTGGAAGAGGCCTTTAGGATCACTGTGCAGCCGGCACTGCCGCTGCAGCCACTAAACCACAGCACCCACACCAGGTCCAGATCCCCTTGAGCAGCTCGAGGGATGGCGACTCCACATCCCTGGGCAGCCCTTTCCAAAGCCTGACTACACCAACAGTGGAAAATGTTTCTAATATCTAATGGCAGTCTCCTCTGTCTCATCCCAAGGCCGTTTCCTCGGTGCTCTCAGTGCAGGCACGGCACAAGGGCCCGATCCCCAGCTCCTGTTGTCAGTAGTTCCAGAGAGCAGTCGTGTTCCACTTGAGCCGCCTGTGCTTTGCGACTGAACAACCCCAGACACGTTCTCTAGAACTTTGATCAGCTTTGTTGCCCTTTGCTGCTCCAGCAGCAATGCTCCAGCATGGCAGTGTCCTTTTTACAGGACATTGGGTGTAGCTGTCCCTCTGCCACCCCATTAAACTATCGAAAGTTATTGAAACTATAGTTATGTATATACTTTGTGGTACATACATCACATGCACATTGTACATACATCATAAAAGTATATACATACTTAAAAATATATAGTATAACAGTATATCAAAATCTGTACTGTTTCTCCTATTGCCCTATCCTTTTGCCCCATCCATACAGGAACTTTTTCTTAGCATTTAAAAAATCACAAATTAACTTTTCTGTTTCAGATTAGTTCTCAAAATAAGGAGTTATGCTTCTAAATAGTTTCTGGGTTCAGTACTGAAAGAATAACCTCAGAAATTAAATGCACACCATATCTAAATCAGCATATTAAAAATGCTCTGTGTGCTGTTGAACTGCTGAGGATAATAGAAGACTCAGGCAAAATGGGTAAGATTAAAAATACACAGAACAGTATTGAAGCTTTTAATTTTGAATAGAGATGAACTGCATGTAATCAAAAATGTTTGTGAAATAACCAATTTGAAACAGTAATAGAGAAAATTAATTCTAGATAAAATCTAAAGAACTTGGTTTGAGGGGTGGAGGGCTGCAGTGAATTAAAAAAAAAAAAAAAAGAAAATCACTGTACAATTATGTTATACAGGTGGTACCAGGAGAGACTGCACTGGCATTTTATAAAGCAAAAAATCCTACTGACAAACCAATAATTGGAATCTCCACCTACAACGTTGTCCCGTTTGAAGCAGGACAGTATTTCAATAAAATACAAGTAAGTGTGAACAAAGCAAAGATTGCATTTTCCTTTACACAAAAGAAAACGGTTACCCATAAATTGCATTTTAATCCTGGACAACATTCTTCATATGCCAACATTTTAAGTAAATACCTTTTTTTTCCCCGAATTATAAAGTGCATCAGTTCATCCTTAGCTTTACTGCCCTCACACCAAGCCGCTCATCCCATCAGAGTGGCTCCAAAATCTGTTATTTATCACCCCTCTGAGGGCAGGCAGAACGATGTGAGCTGGTCTGGCCCCTTGACACCTTTACACACTTCATTAAAAGCTAATATATTTTCTTCCTATATCACCACACTAACAAAATTGCTGTCTTGTTGCTCATCTTATTGATCATTCCCAGGATTTCAGGGGTGTAAAGGGAATGGGAGTTTATTTGAAACCATTAAGATTTCTCTCATGTTGGCAGACATAAAATTTGTCATCACTATTGTTGTCTAACTGTGGATTTTTTTTCCTCCCACCTGCAGTGTTTTTGTTTTGAAGAACAGAGGCTAAATCCTCAGGAGGAAGTGGACATGCCTGTCTTTTTCTACATTGACCCAGAGTTTGCAGAGGACCCCAAAATGGCTAAAGTTGATTTGATCACTCTCTCTTACACCTTCTTTGAAGCAAAGGAAGGACAGAAGTTGCCACTTCCTGGGTATCAGTAACGGGCATTCTCTACAAAATCTGACTTCTGCTACATCTGAGTGCCAGTTTTGATATCATTTTTCCTTGGAAGAAAAAACTAGAGGAATACTGTGCAGTATGAAATTATATTATTAAACCTCCATGGGCACATGCTGTTATGAAAGTATATGTATATATATTTTTTTTTTGGAAACCAACTTAATGTATCCCTATTTCTTAGGGATAGTATTTCTTCATCAGACAGTGGAAGGGAGTACAATGTTCTTGAAGTAGAGAGGGTTTTCTCAGGCCATCTTTTTGTAAGATGTTGTCTGAATACCACAAGGCAAATTTTTAAACCAATGTGTAAATTAAGATCTTCTTTAAAACACAGAAGAAAAAAATCAGTTGATAAAGCATCTAAAATTCCATTGCTGGCTCCAGAAAATAACTTCAATGTTAAGTTAATTTAGAAAAAGGTAAACCCAGAATAAATTAAGGTAATCTCATAACTAAACAGTTAGACTGTTATTTCTGTGTAAGGCTCCCTGGCACAGGAGGAGAAGATGATTCAGAAGGTGATGCACTCTCATGTTATTACTGAATCAGTAGTTCATTTGGTAAGAGCAGACTGCTCTAAAGCTGTTATCATGAGAATAGTAATTTAAGCGTAAGCATATCAGATCTGTGGGATGCTTTCCACTTGGAAACACCATCTTATTTCTGTGTTGTGTCCCACTCATTGGAAGTATCTGTGCTGCTGTTGAGTGCACTTTGCCTCTGCAGAGGGCTCTACATGGGCAACTCCACAAGAGACAAGCTTGGCTTGTGTCCAACATGCTTTGAGCGTAGGGCAGGGTGTAACAACTGCTCTGAATTGTAGCTGAATGAACAGCAGGCTGTCTCCTCAAAAGCCAGGACCAGCCCATTCAGAGGCTGAGCTGGCCTGAGCCTGCCCAGCAGTGCAGCAGCTCTCCAGGAGGACTCTTCCCCAGCAGAACAGGCAAGTGGTGTTTATGTAACTTTTGGGCATTATCCGTGCAGTAGGTCTAATCACACCTCATCACTGCCTTGCAAACCAGGAGCAAGTTGCAGAGGAAGTTTAACTAACCTGCTCATTTTCAGATAGAAAATATCAGCCAGTATCTCTTCTGCTGGGCCACGTCTTTCTACGCCTTCCAGCAGAGAAGATCTAACAAAGTAAGGGTGATGTTGGTTACCTTGGACTCTGAAAAGGCAATGGTACTTCAGAAATAATTTCTAGTTACTTAAGTGTCAATTATATTTGCATACAGCAACTCAAAAACTGCTTTTTTGAAAATAAATGGATGCTACCTTTAAAATCCATTATTGTACCAATTACTTGTGATGGTTAAACAGATTTTGGATGACATACAGGTCTTTACTGTGTATTAAAGATTGAAAACTTTTCATTCTTTCATCTCTCTAATGCATTTTAATCAGAAGAACATGTGGAGCCCACACAAGTGAAATATATCTGTATGAAGATAGCAGCAAGCTTTATAATTCCAGTACGCTTTAGAAATAAAAAAAGTAACATCAAGACAAATCTTTGAATCCAGGCTAGGGGGAAAAAAGCCCCACTTCTTACCTCAGTTGTCTTTAGTCCATTGTCCTTCTGAAAGCTGAAATGATTATGGCAGTTCTCCACCCATTGCTTTATTCTGGCCACATTCTTTTAGAAGAAAAAACTGGCAAGTGCTAGTTCCATAAAAATGTGGGTTTTCTGCCTGAGTTTGAAATTTGCACAGATACTGAGCACATTCCCTCTATAATACAGGCTCTAACCTTGGTAATTAGCCAGTTCCCTTCCATCTCTGTGACCATGGTGCTTCTTTAAACATGGAGAGGTTCCGTCAGCAATCGCCCATTACGGATTACGCTGCAACAGCCCAGTTTGATTTGTTACCCTTCACTGTGGGGGTTCTGCCAGTACAACCCAGCTGTAGGGGAAAAATTAAATCAGTCCACCTCCAATCCTATTTTCAGCTGTTTTCTCAGGCTGCTGTCCAGACCATTGCAAATTTGCAAGAAAAATGAGAGTAAAGCAACTCACCTTTTCACCTCGCCTTACAAAACTCCCACACTCCTTCAAGGTTGTGTTTTGGATAGAAGGAAGTTATTCTAATGGTCCTGCAGTAAACTGCATCGTTTCACACTAAAATACTTCCAATGCTACCTACATCTATATTTCAGGGAATACACAAATAGAGAAAAACTTGGAAGCAATAAGAGTTTACTTTCTCAGTAAGCATTTGCTTTTATTTGGAATTTTATGCTATAAAAATTGCAAAAGCAGCTGAGAACTTCTTAAACAGTTAACATAAGGAATGTTTAAAATGCAGTTATTTCACAAAAAAATTAGCTTATCTGGTATGAACATGAACTGAGTTCTCAAATTTTGTATCAGCTATAAATTCAGAGAACTATACCTGTTAAAGTGCACAGTTTACATTCAGCATTAAAATAGATAAGGCACTTACTAAAAGATAAAACAGTTATTAACAGGATTAAACAACTTAATTAAAATAAATGGGTAACTATTGCTCATCTGCATTGTAGATGATTAATTTTTCCTTCACCAGAAGAATCTCTGCAGGGCAGGAATATTGAAAGAAACAATTGATCCCCCTCCAATATTTACTGAGTAAAGAAAAGCAACAACAGCAACAACAGAACAAGCAGGGTTTTTTCCTGTTCTGTTAATTACTGATGACAGCACTTTGTGCCCCAGCTTAGGTTCTTCCCAAGACAAAAATCCAACTATTCTGTGGGTTTTTAGGAAGAAAATAATAAAGGAAAATCTGTATTAAGGATGTAGGCAAGTAACACTGCACATCTTCAGACATCTATTAAGAGGCCATTTTATGGGAAAAAAAATTAATATCTCAAAACGCCCTTATAGATTTTTAGGGAGATGAACATAGCGGTGAGGCCAAAGAGAAACTGGATTCTGCAGCTTCTGTGAATGTAAGGTGTCTTTTTTTACAAGTGGCAGGTCAAGTCTTACTTCATTCACAGGTGAATTTGGAAGTCACATTTTACATGCGCCCAAAATACTTTAAAATAACCATGCAAGTGACCTTGAAGAACACACAGCTGAACATTTAGGACAAATTGTCGTGGTGTGGAGCCAAGTAACTCTTCAACTTGCACACAGCTTAATTACTGTGTCAAAATGCAAAACCTCTTCTGTTATTCACTTGTAGTTGTAGGAAGCTCTGCACAGGACCAGCACTAGAGAGTGTTCAGGAAAGGATTCCACCTCCACGTTCAGTCTGTGCTCTTTTTAACTTCTGTCTTCAGCACAACATCAATTTCTTCATAAATAGCTCTGAAAGAGGAGGAGTAGGGTGACTCCTACAACACATTTCATTTTGACAAATGGCACCAGGGAAATCCTGCCCGAAGTTTACAGTGTAGCTTCCCTTGCAGGATGCCCAGGTTTCCATGGAAACAAAGAGTCAACCCTGCTCTGATAATAATATCTGATTATCTGATAGTACATTTAATGAGGAACCTTGGATACTGTCACTTTTGATCAAACAAGTTTGGGAACAGAACTGCAAAACACAAGTGGCAAGTGCACCACTGTGCAATTACTGCATTAATTAAAAAAAAAAAAACAATGGAAGCTTTGTTGAGATTTCCCTACCTCAAAATACAGTGGCTCCTTAGAAATAAGTTTTGTACAGATAGCTCAATTTTTTTTTCCCAATTTACTGTTCAAAAGGGGAGTTCTGCAATTTTATTTTAATTTTTTTAGGGGTTTTTTTTTTATATTTTAGGTTTTGTTTAGTTTGCTGTCTCACTATTTTGGCCTTCTGGAGTGACACAGCACCTATTCCCTTTTGTAGTTTATATTTAAATTAAGGATTTTTTCATATGCAGTAGAAGAATACCCTTTAAAAACCACAATTGCTAAGAACAGGAGTTCCTTTGGTTATCTTGTTCCAGAACTACCTGTGCTGAAGTTCAATCAGCTTCCTCCAGCAGGACCCTGACTATATTTCCTTCACCTTTCTATATCACTGGATAAGATTTTAGTAATTTTAATAGAGCATTACTCTTCCATTTTTGCAGATGCCAGTTAATGAGCACACTACAGTTTATTCATTAATTGGTTATGCCAGAATTATTTGAAGAAAACATACAAAATGCAGCCACTGTCATTTTCATCAATGATGCAGCTGGTCAGCTAACTCAGCCTAAGTAGAGTGGTCTGGTTTTCTTCTCAGAAGAAAAAGCCATCTTGCCCTTGGTAACACAGAAGTTTAAAATTCTATTTTAAAAATTACTTACTCAGTAGGAGCCAAGGGATCGAATTCCATTATCTCATAGTAATGAGTTGACTGTGACTTGTTCTTTGATGTAGCTGAAGAATAAAGAGACAGACATATCCAGGTTTCAATGAGAATGAAAAGCATGATTACTACACGTTTTTTGTGTCTTCCTGAAAGTAGCACACTATCTGCTACAGATTCAGCTGCTTTACATGCTAAAATGGACAGATGTGTAATGGAATCCCTGTGCAATATGACTTTGCCAATGCTTGTTGCTGTTCCTAGTGACTGACAGCCATTATGTAAAGGCCTTAAGTTCTAACAAGAAAAGGAAGCATGCAAGAGGTGATTTGCAGTATTTATTACCTGCTGCTGATGGTCCATTTGATGGCACAGTCTGTCCAGCCTGCAGATTTATTGGGTTCAGAGGCACTGGGCTTAAAAGAGTCGTCAACTGAGGACATCAAGCAAAACAATGCATGAACAGATTGTTTTATGAGAACTGGTTTGACCTAACTTACATTAATTGCTGGCTTATCTTTAAACTCCCTGACTACTGCAGGTAAAATTCCAAGGCCAACAGTTAGCAACCCAATTAATCTTCATTCTCCACACAACCTTCAAAGCAACATTTAGTGTTCTATATATATGGCACATGTGTATAATTTACTTCTGTGTGACTTGTTCCACCACACAGATTCAAACATCTGCTTTTATCTGCAGTTTAAAATAAAGACTGTGCATGTTTGTTTGGTAGCTGCTTCTTTTCTATTTCATACTGCCTCAAAGTCCCTTCAGGCTCTTTCCATTCCTTCTGTCATGGGTGCTTCTCTGCAGCATGACATTTGTCCTGCACTGTACTCGGGGTTTAAGTGATTTTTTGGTGGGCTGTGCTTTTGTGGGGCCTTTGAGTTTTTTGGGGTTTTTTGTATGTTTGTTTTTAATATCTTATTTGTGATAGAAAGTACACCAGAGTAACATCATGGCAACAGAAGGAGAGCTCAGCTTGCTTTGCATAGAAACAAATTAAATACAAATAACAGAGCAAGGAAACAAGATTCCACATTAGGATCTGTGGCGGCAAAAGAGGAAAGTTGACCTGGTTACCAAGTAGAATATTCCCTGAGGTATGGAGAAGGGCCACAGAAGAGATCTTTGCATCTTTGCAGTGGGGGTAAATCCAGAAATTCTCATTTGACAGCTGCCCG